TAGGCTGTTAAAGGGAATGTTGTCCGAAACAATCTCATCCGGGCAACCATGAATAGAAAAAATGTTTATAAAGGTTTTTATTATGTGTGAAGCAGACTTATCTTTAATGTTTTTAAGCTCAAACCGCTTTGAAAAATAATCAATTACGACTAGAAATGACTTTGATTTATACTCTAAAATGTCTGTGCCTATTTTTTGCCATGGCTTGCACGGAATATCATGAATTAACATCGGTAATTTACTATTGTTACTTTTAAATGTATCATATAATTCACAATTATTTACAATTTTTTCGATGTCATTATTAGTTTTAGGCCAGTAAATTAACTCCCTTGCTCTAGATTTACATTTATTTATACCAAAATAACCTTCATGTAAAACATTTGCCCTCTTAGCCCGTGGAATGACTATTTTATTATTAAACACACATTATTAATAACACACGATTAACAATCGTCAAATTTTGTAGAAACTAGACATCTCTCTCTGAATGTTACTATTGTTCAGTCAATTATTATTTACATATTCTATTACTATTGCCAGAAGCTCTCAAAAGTACCTTTTTTGTGATTTAAATAATTTTTTAGAAGCACAACTGATCCCTCATGGAGTAAAACTGCACCTACGCCATCTTTTGATACATCAGATGGTACTTCGATTAATTTGTTTTTATCAAAGTGTACAAGAATTGGTGAACACGTTAATAATTTTTTAATTTCATTTAGTTTTATTGTTTATCTGACCATTTCCACTCTATTTTGTCTTTTGTTAATTCTCTTAATGGTGCGCGAACCTTGCTAAAGTCTGGTACTAATTTAGTGAAATATTTTACTATACCTAGAAATCGCATAACTTGTTTTTTATTTTTAGGAATATCTAGTTTACAGATTGCAATTAAACTATCAGAATCTATTTTAATACCTGCTTTACATACAATAAAGCCCAACATTTTTATCTGTGATTGTTTGAACTTTTTTTTTTCATTAAGTGATATACCTGATTTTATAGCGTTTTCTAAAACCTCTTTAAGTATTTCATCGTGTTTTTTTTTCATTTTCGGCAGCTATATATATGTCATCTATGTATACTTTTACACTTTCTATACCCACTAAAATGTCAGAATTTTTACTCTGACACACTTCAGATAATACTGACAATTCAAACGGACTTTTAATGAATTAATACCTTCCGAACGGTGTTGAGAAACAACATAGCTCGGCTGAGTTTTCATCGAGCTTTATTTGATGTAAAGAGCTTTTCAAATGTAGGACGGTGAAAAATGTTTTATTTTTTAAATCAGATAAAATTTTTTCATGATTAGAAATAGGATCAGAATCCTTTACTATATTCTCATTTAGATACTTTGGATCCAAGCAAATTCTTAAGTCATCGTTTTGTTTTTCAACTAACACTATATTATGAACCCACGATGTTGAACTATCTACTTTAACTATGCCATTTTGTTTAACTAATTCATCTATTTTATTTTTTGGTTTTGGTAATAAACTCTTTGCTACTCGACGAGCTGGAAAAGATATTGGTTTAACATCATTTTTTAGTTTTATTGAGTAAGGTCTACCAGGATAAGTTCTCAACCCGTTAAAGACTTTTAGGTAGTATGAAATTAAATCTTGTTTACTAAAAAAGTGAACCTCGTTTACCGCATTGACTTCTCTAAGATGTTTATTAAGATGTTCTCTTAATTAAATTAAATTTTTTACATGTATTCAACCCTAATATGGGACGATATCTACTATCATAAATTTTATCTCACATTTAAAATTATTTACTGTAATATCCAAAACTATTGTGCCACAAGGACTTAATGTATTATTATCAACTACTAACTTTATGTTAGTTTTCTCCAGTTTCAACTCTTTTCACAAAACATTTTGTAGTGTGTCGACTCCCATTACATTTGTTTGTGAACCTGTATCCAATTTGCATGTCACTTCTTTGCTTTCTATGATTATCCTTTAGTCCATTCCGGTTCAATTTACAACATGAATGAGACCGAATCCAGAAAATAGTTTTCTTCACCGCCTTTATTCGTCTCATAAACATGAATATCAACATTATCTGGTTGTTCTTTTTCTTCCTTTTTACTCGTTAGCACTAAACATTTCATTCATTTGTTGTTTGATTGCTACCAATTTTTTTGCAATATCAATCGTCTTTTCTAATGTCACGTCAGATTCGTGTAACAGCTTTTCTTTTATTTTCAACTAATTGATACCAATAATTAATTTGTCTCTGATCATGTTTTCAGTTTTACTGAATTCACAGCTTGATTATATGTTCTTATTTTCGTGGCATATTCCCCAATGGACTGGTCCGGTTTTTGGTTACAATAATAAAATTTAAATCGTTCGAATATAATGTATTTTTTTGGTTTGAAATGATTTCTAAACAAAGTTGTTACGTTATCATAATTTCTCTTTATTCGCCGGTCAAAGGTGAATGTATTGTAAATATCAACTAACTTCTGGCAGCAACATTTTACAAAATAACTATTATTACCTCATCTGATTTTTCATAACTGCCTAATGCTAAAAGGAATATTTCAAATTGTTGGTAAAATCTTTTCCAATTTACCGCCAAGTTCTAAAAGAAATTAAATTTCATTTTTCCAATATTCTATTTATTTTGCGAGTAATCGTGTGGTTTATAATAAACCGATTACTGTATATACTTTTGTTAATAAATAATAATAGTTAATATTTTCTTATTCTTCGATTTTTCAAAGACTATGTGGCCCATTACCGTAACACAAATTAGTTTTCACTTGTCTTTATCCTGTGCTACTGTTTCCATATCTTATATTCCAATATCTTCTAAAGTCTTTTTTACTTTATTTATCCATCTTTGTTTTGGTCTGCTTAGTGATATTTTCCCAAAGGGCTTCCATTTTAATATCACTTTCATTAGGCTATTTGACCTCCATATGTGGCCAGCCCATGCAATTCTTCTATATTGTAATATAGTAATAATAATATTATTATAATATTGTAATAGTAGCAGTATTACAATATAGAAGCTACTATGTCCGGTTCTTTATATAGCTGTTATGATTCTATGTTACTTCTACTTTCATATTGTTGTGTGATATTATTTCTTTTTGGCTCATATATTCTTCTTGTTTCAAAAGCATATAAAAGAACTGGTCTGATAATTACTTTGTATATTGTAATTTTTGATTTTATTGATACTTGTTTTGATTTAAATGTGCTCGTTAACCCATAATAACATATATTCGCTGCAGTAGGTCTTATATTAATTTCTTCGTGATAACTATTATTGCTATTTATTGTAACACACCGATATTTAAAACTATGTACTCTTTCAAACTTAAAATTCTCAGTTTCTTATGTTCTCCATTATTTTCTCGTTTTGATATTACCATATATTTAGTCTTTGATTCGTTGATTTGTTGCTCATTTTTATTAGCTCCTTAGTGCCCATAATTACTTATTGTTTACTTGATACACTAATATTATAATATCATCTGTATACGCTAAAATTCCGCATTGTCTTATGTTATCTTCCAAGTTTAACCCATCATACTTGCTCTTCGTTTTCTTTAATACTGTTTCCAGCGCTATATTAAAGAGTACTGGGGATAATGCATCTCCCTGTCGGAGTCCCGTCTTAACTTCAAATTTATTGAATGAATTAAATTTTATATCTAGTTTTATTTATGCATTGTTTGATCATTTTCACTGTTTTGTATGATATTCCAAAGATTATGAGTGCATTCCATAACACTTCTCTATTGACTGAGTGATTTGCTTGTTTATAGTCAACAAACAATAAATGTAAGGCCCTGTCGAATTCATAATGTTTCTCAACTAGTTGTTTAACCGTGAAAATTTGGTCTATGGTGGATTTTCCTCTCATAAAACTACACTGGTAGTCTCCATTAATATGTTTTGTATAAGGCATAGTCTTGTTTAATATGGTACCTGATAATATTTTATACATCGTGTTCAATAATGACATTCCTAGGAAGTTTTGATAGCTTGAAATATCTCCCTTTTTATAGATTGGACAAATTATTGCTAATTGCCATTATTTTGTTATTTCTTCTGTATTTTATATTTCTACGATTAATTTACCTATTTCATTTATTAATTCCTCTCCACCATACTTAATAAATTCCGCAGCTAATCTATCTTCGCCCGGTGATTTGTTGTTTTTCAATCCATTTATCACTGTAATAATTTCTTTGTCTGTTGGGTCCATATCTTCGAGTTCTGCAGTATAGTACTCTATTTATGGATGAAATTGTCGTTTATGTGGTTTGAGTAATTAATTGAAGTAATTCCCAAATTGTTTTACAATTTCTTCTCCATTTGTTACAAGTGTTCCGTTTTCATCTCTTATTATTTCTGATCTGAGGATATATCCCATTTTTTGTTCTTTTGTTTGTTTGAAGAAAATCTTTGGGTTTATACTATTTTTTTCGACTTGTTCTATTTTTTCCTTTTCCTATGACTGTTTTTCTCTTATTGTGGATATAGTTTTTCTAAGTTTTTGTACAAATTTATTATTCTTTTCTGTGTTTGGGTTTATAAGCATCAATGATCTTGCTTTATCCCTATCTTCGATAGCTCTCTGACATTTATCGTTATACCCTTTATATTTTTACACTTTTTTTTTCCTAGATGTTCCACAGCGATTGTTTTTATTATATTCTCTACTTTTTTCCTACGGGTTTCAATGTTTTCTGCTTCTACTCTGCCCCCAGTTTATATTTTAGATCGTTCTTATATTGATGTAATATTTTTGAATTTCTTATATCAATTTTTTCTTCTATTTTCACCTTTTTCGTTCATCTTCATGGTAATTTAATTTGAATTTTTGTTTTAACTAAGAAATAGTCTGACTAGACAGATACATAATTAAATAATTTAATTTCAAATAGTTTTGACTGTGCATAAAGAACCACATAGTAGATGCGATTATAACACGATAACTTCATAACGTCCAATAAAAAATGTATATAAGTTATTTCAGTTAGCATAAGCCCATTATATTTTTCGTGGCAATAAAATAAGAAAATTTAGTTGTGTAAAGAATACTGCAAAGAAGATTGCTGGTGAGAGTAAGAGTAGAATGCCAGGAAACAAGGAAACCTGGTGGTGAGATGAGGACGTTCAAAAAATCATAGAAAGTAAGAAAAAGTAATTCAAAGTATGGTAGAAGAGCAAAATGAGAGAAGACTGGATGGAATATAAACGCTTGTGCAAAGAAGCCAAGTGTGCAGTAAGTAAGGCGAAGTTTAAGAGGTATAAAGAGTTGTATGATAGGCTAGGAACAAAGGAAGGCAAGAAAGAAATCTATAGACTTGCAAAGATAAGAGAGAAAAGGTCTAAAGATTATCATTATATAAGGTATATAAAAAGTGTTGATAATAAGGTACCCTTGAGTGATGATGATGTGAAAAAAAGGTGGAAAGAGTATTTTGAAAAATTATTGAATGAAGAGTACCCAAAATAGACATTAAAGGATATCTCGTGGAATGAGGGACTGGTAGATTTAATTAGTGAGAAAGAGGTATGGGAGGCTGTGGCATCAATGAAAAAGAATAAAGCAGATAAAGTGCCAGTAAAAATATGGAAAATAATAGGCGGTGTTGGCATAATGTGGTTGAAGGAACTTTTAAATAAAATCTTATTAGAAGAAAAAATTCCAAATAACTGAAGGAATAGTATTGTGGTGCAGATATTTAAGGTAAAGGTGACATACAGGAGTGTGGAAATTATAGAGGCATAAAGCTTATGAGTCATAGTATGAAAATTTGGGAAAAGGCAATAGATAAGAAAATAAGAAATGAGACATCGGTATGTTGTGTGAGGCAACTAATAGAAAAGTTTAGGGAAAAGAAGAAAAAGCTGTGTATGGTATTTATGGATTTGGAGAAAGCGTATGAAAGAGTAACGAGAGAGGTTTTAAAGTGTTCATTAATGAGAAAAGGAGTCCCGAAAAGGTACATTAATATAATAGAAGATATGTATTATGGCACTTGTATCAGGGTAAAAAGTGTAGGAGGACTATCAGAAGGTTTTCGGGTAAGAGTAGGAGTGCATCAAGGTTCTTCTTTAAGCCCTTACTTATTCTCTATAGTGATGGATGAAATTACTAGAAAAATACAAGGAAAGGTGCTGTGGTGCATGTTGTTTGCTGACGATATTTACTATTTGTTAATAGTAGAAAATAGGGAGAAAATTAATCAAAGGCTAAAGGTGTAGAGATCAGCTCTTGAAGAAAAGGGTTTAAGAATAAGTAGAAGTAAGACAGAGTATATAATACGAGTTTGACAAAGGAGAACACAAGGTAGGTGAAATGAGGAGGTCAGTGACAATAAGCGTGGACGTGATTGGAGAGGTGGAGAGTTTTAAGTATTTAGGGTCAGTTGTACAAAAGAGTGGTGGTATTGACGAGGATGTAAGACACAGAATTAAGTGCGGTTGGTTGAAGTGGAGAGAAGCGTCTGGCGTCTTATACGATAAAAGAATTCCAATGAGGCTGAAAGGTAAATTCTACAAGACTGCAATAAGGCCAGCTATGATGTATAATTCATAGTGTTGGGTGGTTGACAAGGGAGTTGAGCAAAGAATGAGTGTAGCAGAGATGAGAATGCTTAGATGGATGAGTGGAGTGATAAGAGATGATAGGATAAGGAACGAGCATATAAGAGGGAGTATAGGTGTAGCGTCAATCGTGGATAAGATAAGAGAAAATAGACTTAGATGTTTTGGTCATGTTATGAGGAGAGAAGAACCGGAAGCTGTATAAACAGTTATAGAAATGAATGTTGAAGGAAGAAGAGATAGAGGAAGACCAAAAAAGAGATGGAGGGATGCTATTGTGTGCGATTTGGTGACAGCTGATGTGAGCGTAGATGATGTGGGAGATCGTGTCAAGTGGAAGTTTAGGATAAGGGTGGCCGACCCCAAGTAGTTGGGATTAAGGCGAGGAAGAAGAAGAAGAATAAAGTAAGAAAATTATTAATAATAATATGTTTAGGTGTATTCTTTTATTTTATTTCATTACAAACCTTATATTCTCTCAATATTCTGAAAGAATTTTCACTTCATCTCCGCATACTGGTAAACGCACTGGTTTTTTTTAATTCATCTTTTTTATCTTATAAGGGTGTTAACATAATTTTTTAAATGGTAACATACTTATATAGCTAGCTTATAAATAATTTAATTAAGAAAATTATTGTCAAATACAACTTTTAACTCATCATTATAGTAGTTATAACTATTTTAAAATATAGACTGGAGGTTAAGTGTGGACTATGATATTTTTATCTTTACACATTTACTCTGCCACTTTCTTCTTTCAATATGTTAAAAAAATATCTAGAACTTCTGAAGTACTATTTCAAAATTTTTTTTCTTAATTAAATCATTTTTATGGGTTCTTATGTGTAAGAGTTGTATGGGGCTCTTAATATTTTTTTAAAGAAAAAGAATCTTTTTTTTAATCATTACAAGATGGGGAGCGATTGATGATCATTGCCAATGGCAACAAATTTAAGGAACCACATTTTAGGAATAATAATTATTTTTTTTTTTTTGGAAAAAAAATCTTAATAAATTTATATTTTATGAACTAAATAATTTAATTGTATTTTTTAACAATTTTTTCTGTGAGTTTTAATAATAACATTGATTTAATTAATTGCTTTTTATATTTTATTCTGTTTTATTTAGAAAAGTCACAGATTCTATTATTGTCAATGAAACATCATTAATAGAAGATCAAAATTGGAAAGAAAAAAAAAGTAATTTAATCATAATATGCTCAATGTAAAAAATACTATTATTAATCAAACTAAATTTATCTATGCATCAAATTAATTTTACTCGTAGTTTTTAACTACATAAGCAATAATTGAACAAATGTTTCGTTCATTTATAAGTAGTGTTGTGAATGCTGGAGTTTAGCGTTAATAGTAATTAGATGGTATCCGGGATTTTTTTGTGGCTCTTTGAATTTAATATTTTTTTTATTTTGAATTAATATTTTTAATATAATTTTAATTTTAAATAATTATGAATTACTTTCAAATGTATAACATTAGACATTCTTTAGACTCTCTTCGATTAGGTATAAAAATGTCAATATCTTAAAAATAATCTTAATTCGTATCTTACCAATAGTGTATTGTGTGAATATATTTTATAATAGTAATCACTTTAAAAATATTAGTTGAAAAATTGAAACCAAACCAACAAGCATTTTCTAAATATGATCATTGTTTTGTAAGGTTTCAGCCAATCCAGAGGGCTTACTATTTACCCACTGTCCAGGGGAACACTTAACAGTGACCTAGTAACCGAGCCAAGCGAGGATAGTACTCGTTGACGGAGCTACTAGGTTTTGATTAAAAAAAAAAAACAAATATTAATAATAAAATGAGAGAAGAGTAAAAAGAGAAAGGCCATGTATAATACAGGGCCGGGCCGATCAATAGTGGCGCTTCTGGCAAAATGAAAATTTTGCGCCCCCCTACCATAAAATAATTAATACAATGTAATCATATTTTATTAATTTTCAAATAATATCTTATTCCTTTAAATACTAAGAGTATATCTTTTGTCTCTTACATTTACATTTTACATAAAAAAAAACATAATTATTAAAATTTAACTTTTCTGGCTTTTTTGGAAGCAAATTCTTCAATTACTAAAGTGTAGTCCATTTTAGATGCAATTTCGTGTTCGATTGAAAGTATTGCTAAATTTGTTAGACGTTCTTGAACCATGGTGGAACGAAGATAATTTTTTATGATCTTTAATTTACTAAAACTTCTCTCGCAAGTAGCTGTAGTAACAGGCATTGTTAAAAAAATTCTTAATGCCACTTCTAAATTTGGGTATACATCTTGTAGAGAATTTTGATGTATGCATTTTAAAAATTCAAAAGATGTTGCAGTTTTAAATGATGCTATTAATTTTGAAGCTTGAAATTTGAAACTTTGAACTTCAGCGTATAATTCACTACCATTCAAATCAACACTGTATAACAACGCTAGATCATCCGACCATTTTCTAATATCATTTATTTCCATACTCGATAAATTTTGACCGGACAAAAATGCAAATTTTGAAGATACATTATACATTTTTTCAAATCTCCATTTTAGACTCGTAATAATAGAATCTAGAGATTGATAGCATTGTAGTTTTACATTAGTTTCAATACTTTCCCTCGTTATACTAGTTTTTATATTATTTGACTCGTATGTTTTGCGTTTTATTTTTCTTGTAGTTGGAAAATCAGTGGCTATATTAAATAAAAGTGCAATTTTTTTAACTTCATTCAATGTATTTTCAAAACCATTTTCTCTTATATTTTGAATGCATTCAATTAAACCTTCTAAACTTTTGGTTGCCACATCAATAGTTTGATTTTGATTCTGTAATATTAAATTTACTTTATCAATTTGTTCTAGAATAGAATCCCAAAAATGATTTGGGGGGGGGTTAACACCCAAACCCCCCCTGGCTACGCCACTCACTATAACCGTGATATGAACAACAAGGTATGAACTATGAATAAAAAAGGTATTATCGTAATTTTTTGATAACATAGCTTCGGTAGGCACGTAATATGTATCGCTTAGTAATAATAATTTAATGACAGTATGAAATTAATAAGGGTAAGCAAATGATGTACGAACTTTTTAAATCTGGACTTTTGCGATCATACCATATCAAGAATACTACAATGTTAAATTAATTGTTTTCACTCACGTAATTCTTAATTTCGCCAAACGAGTGACAACGTAATAGATCAGCAGGTCAAAACAAAATGAATAATGTTCGAATTGGTACAACCTAACTGAACAAATCAAAGCTGACGTGACTCGTATAGTCGTATACTCGTATCGCAATGTATATTATATACAGTATATATATATATATAGCTATATCGAGTATCGACTATTAAATTTGATGGAAAGATAAGACTATTTTTAGACACGACGAGCCGGCGAGTGATTATCCGGTATTATTGTCGCCCGCAAATTGTATTTTTAAATTTGTTTATTACCCGGCGACTATGAGTTAAAGCGAAATAATTTATATCACTTTTTCCTCACAATTATAAATTATACTTACGGGCTACGTGTATAATTAATATGGACATTATTATACATTATACTTGTTTAATACTAGGTAGTTCACACTTTATAGTATCATTTCGGTAACGTCGTATTTCCATCCAATAATAGTTTTTAAATTATTATAATATTTTGGTTTTGATTTTTAAAATCTAATTTAATGACTTCATCAAATTTTGCGCCCCAATTCTGACTAGATATTTTGCGCCCCTGGCAGGCGCCCACTTTGCCAGGCCCTCGGCCCGGCCCTGGTATAATATAATAACATTTTTTTTTAATGATTTAAAGTTTATAATTATTATTTTAAATTTATATATTCATAAGGAAAGAATAATAAAAAAAAAGGAGAAAAAGAGGCGCTATATACACAACATTAATAATAGCGTAGAACAGGAGGGTTTCATGTTATACTTGTTGATCGTGTTCTTGAGTGACGGCCCACCACTGGCCATAGTTGCGCCTCAACGTTTTATTTAAAAAAAAAACGGAGGACAAAAAAAAAATACAGCCTGGTTGACCCAATGAGTAGACGGCAGGTCGACTCGACGTTTTATTTTAATAAAATAAACGGAGGACAATAAAATACAGAAACGTGTTTTTCACAACAAAAAAATATACAGACAGACTACTTGTCGCTTCAGTAGTATAGTTGAGAAGAGAGAAAAAAAAGGTAGCATCGTATAGTGGCCGGTGATCGGTGGTGAAGGTGCCAACTTTGATTTGGTTCATGGGGAGTGATATAAATATAGGGATGCACTGTGTGCAGTCAAACTGTCACAACAAACCGGGTACTGACCATTGGATGGATCGGTTGACTGGTATATAAGTTGATTTTATAATTGGGGACATACTTAATACCTAATGCACACATACTGATAAGAATTGACTAAAAAGAACTTTTCAAATTCTGCAACATTACAGTTTATTTAGTAAGCTAATTAAATATATATGTTCTCCTAAAAAAAAATATAATTAACACTCTTATAAGGTATAAGAGTTTTCTCTTATAAAAATGTTTTGGTTTTAATACCAAATATGGCTTTGGATTTGTTTTCTCATATTTGATTATATATATATAGTTAAACTGTAGCTAATTACAAAAGTAAATTTAACAAAAAATTTTTTTTATTCTTAAATAAAAATCAGTAAAAAAATTATCAATATTTAATCAGCTCGCTTACTTTTATATTATGAAGCCATCGACCAGCTTATATTTGTAAAATCTATTGTGATCCATTGTAATAATAGATTCATTTGTTGATTTAATTTGATTTTATTGTAGTAATTTCATACACTTAACTTTTACTTCAGCTATAGAAGAACCCGAGAATATATTAAGTCCATGAATCTAATCATATCAGCTCAATTCGCTATCGAATATTATGTTACATAATGCTAGACCGACAACCAATTTCTGTAGGGCTTACAAGTTTTTTCTACATCTACATACTTATTTAGTATAAAAAATTGCCCAAGGTGCAATAAGATTTACAAGCGTAACATTTCACGAAGAAAATGGGGACCTCCTAGTGTTTCAGTACCGTCATAATGTGTCTTCAATCTTTTGAGTTTAAGACATTCTTTATGTATAGACTAAATGCTTTGTGAGAGGCCAAGATTCTACATATCCACCAATATGCGCCCATGTTGATTTTATATCAATAAAGGGCATCTGGACTTCAAAGTCCGGTAAATAGACCACTGGTTTAGAAAACTAATCTCCCAAAAATAAAATCAGTTTTTTCAGAATTCAGAAAAATTTTTTTTTATATTCTACCAATAATAGTTAAAGTTGAAAAAAATTTTTAATTAATATTTAATTTTTATGGATAATGTCTAGATTATACTTGTGTACCCATACCACGTCCACGTTCTTTGATGAGTAATACTTCAATTGATAGTTCCAGTTTAAAAAGTAAGCTTTCAGATTTTTCGACATCAGACAAAAGTAGTTTTTGTGATAGCAAATCAGAATCTTTAGAATTGGAAGAAAGTGTATCTATAGAAATAAGTGATTCTGAAAACATTGAAACTTCAAATAAAATACTTTTACAGTTGAGTTTTAAGATTTCTAAGAATTTTAAAAATTTTATATGAATAATAAATTTTTTTTATAGGGTACCTAAAAACAATGAGAAAAAAATAGAAGAATGTCAAAATGGTAATTATGGTAATGGAATTTTTATTAAAATTGTTTTTCAAACATAAGATCATGATTTAAAACTGAAATGGTCGAAAAAAATTAAAGTATTAATGTCTATTAAAAATATTGATAGAAATTAGAAAAACTAAATAGTGTAATATAGCCAATGGTGGTTCGTGGGTGCTGGTGGTGGTGGTGCGACTTTAAATATAATACCGCTAGTCATAGGTATAAAAAATTTTCAAATTAAATATAATAAAATAAAACATAATTACACCACATATTATTATTTCAAAGGTCGCAGTAGAAAATAACAATGAAAATAATAATAATAGCGATTATACTACTATAGCAACCGATAACGACGAGCGTACATGCAGTTAATTCAAAAAATAAATTACCTTTAATATATTAATATTTTACCCTATGGACGACGCTGCCGGTCGTCCAAAACCCGTTCATCAAATTGCAGCTAAACTGTACCCGCACACACTATTGGGCCTCGCTCATAATATACATTTCAGAATATTGTTCAGACAACGCTGTCGGTCGTCTAAACACAGCTCGTGTGTGCGTTCGTACTCACATATACCGAGGGACACAACTTTAATGTTCGTAGACGACAAATATATTATAACTATTTAAAATTTGCTTTTTTAATAAAAATATACAATTAAGAATATTCAATTAATTTTAGTAGGGGTACGATCATTCAAGTCACGAGCCGCTACTGAATATAGCATAGAAAGAAATGTAATTGTGATTATTATATTAATCAAATAATTTTGCCATGAGAATATGTAGATAATTTATAGGCGTATTTAAAAATTTTTCTTTGGAAAGGCTTGAAATACTTATAACCAGTGGCGGATCCAGGATTTCATAATGGGGGGGGTCCAGAATTTTGAGAAGAGTGGGGGGGGGGTTGCAAAAATTTGTACTTATTCAAGAAACAATGGATAATGTGCTCATTTTAAACTTAATTAATATATACTTCTATACGGACAAAATTTAGCAATTGAACGATTTTCACTATTAACGTGCGTCGAAATAGCATTCATGTGACTGAGTCGATAATATTTAATAATAACAACGACGTCCGATAAGAGTTATTTACGTCCGTCATAGCATGTATCGGACGTCGTCGACGTCGAGCGGACGGGAAATCCAACAAACATCAAGTGTGTGACCGTCGTGAAATTAATCACAATAATTCAATAACGGACGTTATTACGTTTTCTGTATGAACGCGCTTTTATTCTTCTGTTTCTTTCACCGAGCAGAAAACATTGTGTCAAGCATTTGTTGATAAGTAATCACAGTGATTGTTAATACGCCTCACAGTATGAAGAGAACATTATTCTCTTATTTCGAGCGTCATGATCCAGAATCAGAATCAAAAATAAAAAAGAAGGAAAAACAGGTAAGACACGAAATTTTTTTCTAGGAACAGTAAGTGTAATTCGTTTCAATTATACTTACTGTTCTTGTGCAAAAAAAAAAAAAAATTACTTGAAATGTAAATTTTTTTGCACAAGATATTTTACTGTGAACAAGCATTCTGTGTCAACAAGTGTTTACGTTCCTAATCTTTTCAACTTGTACATATTTTTATAATAACTTAACATGCATAGCTGGATTAAGGAAATGTATCACTCTACGTGGTTGACTTATTACGTTTTTTACCTCTTCAAAACATCATTTTTAATTTCAAAATACACAATATAACTTTCAAAATGAATAAAAATAAAAATAAACTAAAAATTCTGGGTTTCTTACATATTTTTTTAGATTGAAAAGACAGAGAAGTCGAACCTTGAGGAAAATCCACAAGAGACTGTCGAACAATCAGCCACAAAAAATACGTCAATCCAAATTAAAAATTCACCTTCATTCAAAAACGACATAGCTTCAGCCTCAACTAAACTTTTAAGTAAAAAAAATGCAAATGAAATTCTTAACATCGTAAATGATTCGTGGGTACCACCAGCTGATTTTTTGTTTCCGAAATCGACCGCAAAAAATTTATCGTTTCAAAGAAAATGGCTAGAGGAATTTTATTGGCTGGCATATTCTGCTAAAGAAAATGGTGCATACTGTAAGTATTGCATAGCTTTTAGCACGAAAACCGGTGGAATAGGCGATGTAAGTCTGGGAAAACTTATCAAAAAGCCGTTTAATACATGGAAACACGCAAAAGAAACTTTTCGAAACCACGAAAACCTTGATTACCATAAAAAATCCGTTGTTGGTATTGAAAATTTACGTGATATCGAGTTTGGTAAAACTAAATCTATCGATGAACAACTTAACAAGCAAATTTTAAAAACGAAAGAAGAAAATCATGAGAGACTGAAACCCATAGTTAGCGCTATAATTTTGTGTGGACGTCAAGGCATTGCACTTCGTGGCCATAGAGACGACGGATGTTTGTACAACGAATCTGATATGAGTAAAAAAACTACCGGACAATATTTGAATGAAGGAAACTTTCGTGCACTTCTACGATATCGAGCTGAAGGTGACGAACTGCTCAAAAAAAACCTTCTGTCCACTCCAAAAAATGCAACATATCTTAGCAAAACCATTCAGAATGAAATTATTGAAACTTGCCATGAAGTGATCAGAAAAAAGATCGTTGATAAAATAAATCAATCAAAAGGATTTTCAGTTTTGGCTGATGAATCGACTGATATTTCCAGTATAGAGCAATTTTCTATTTGCGTACGATACTTAGATTCTGAACCTAATATCTGCGAGGATTTTCTTGGATTCGTTCCAGTAACTGACGTTTCTGGACAAGCTTTAGCAAAGTCTATCAAAAATTACCTGATCGACATCGGCGTGGATTGCTCATTTATGTATGGCCAAGGATATGACGGAGCTCCAGCAATGAGTGGTGAATTTCACGGGGCGCAGGCTTATTTGAGATCTTTTTTTCCTCTTGCAATTTATGTGCATTGTGCTGCACATAGCTTCAGTTTAACTATTAATGCAGCTTGCGAAGTATCTGGTATTAAAAACGCGTTGGGGACTGTCGGATCAATTCAAGCATTTTTTCACTGGCCCAAGAGACAAAGCATTTTAAAGAACGAAATTGCCAAAATGACGAAGAAAAGTGAGCAAAGGAGAGAAAAATTGAAGTCTATCTGTCCTACAAGATGGGCTCAATCTCATGAAGCTGTATCAACGTACGTCGAACTTCAACCAGCTGTTATTGAAGCGTTAGAAGAAATAAAAACGTGGAGGGATCGAGAGACTTCAAGCTTAGCATCTCAACTTCTGACGGCAATTTTCACAGTCGAATTTCAAATTTCCTGCCAAATAATGGAGTCGATCAATTCCCTCGTTTTACCATTAAGTCGAGAATTGCAGTTAAAGAATCAAGATCTAGGAGAAGCAACCAAATTGGCTGATGATGCTTTGAATGATTTCAAGGAAAAGCGGGAAAACGTAAATTCATACTTCCACATTATTTATGAAAAAGTTTCTGAAATTTGTTCTGAATACGAAATTGAAATGAAAACGCCTCGTCGATGTGAACGACAGAAATATCGTTGCAACATTGAAACGCAAACAGTTGAAGATTACTACAAACTCGCATTCTACATTCCATTTCTTGATACTTACATTTGTCATCTCGAAAGTCGATTCCAAAAACACAAAATAGTTTTTCAAAGTTTCGGACAGCTATTTCTCAAGCAAGAATATGATGAAAAAAAATGCGCCAGCCTTTACCAATTTTACGAAGAAGTATTGGATTGTTCCGAGAGTAATTTCATTTCAGAAGTCAAAATGTGGAGACAACGAATCCACAATCAGAACATCGAAAATGCACTTGATGCATTATCAGTAAGTATCTCCCAATAAAAAAAAGAGATTTCTTTGAGGTTTTAAACAGAATAACGTAAATAAATATTTCTATCAAAAATTTAAGCAGAAGCAATTTTTTCAGATCATGAATAATGAAACTTTTAAAAACGTCAACAAAATGTTGCGAATTTTGGCAGTGTTACCTGTGACAACAGCAACTCCAGAACGCTCATTTTCGACTTTACGACGGATTAAGGATTATCTTAGAAACACGATGGTACAGGAGCGTCTCAACGGCCTTGCGTCTTTGAACATCCACCATCACATTAATATAACTGAAGAGGAAATTCTCAGAAAATTTTTCGAAAAACCTCGAAAATTTAAGAGTGCTTGAAAAAACATGTTACATCCTTCATCATCTATCGATTTTTCAAAAAAATATTTTATAATCACTCGAAATTTTGAATTACAATACTAACAATTATTTTTATTATGAAATAAATTGAATTTGGAAGAAAAAATTTTTTTTAGCTTGAGTCATCTAGAATTTTAGCATGAAATGTAAAAACATTATTCCCATGGGGGGGGTCCGGACCCGAAAACCCCCCCCGTGGATCCGCCACTGCTTACAACAAAAGACAGAATAGATATTTTACAGTCCCTGATACCTATAAAACTTCTAAAATAAAACAATCACGTTTAATTTGTTAATAATTTCATAGGAGCGATTATTTTACGTACATAACTTATCTTATTTTATAAATATATATTATAATATAACTCCATAGTTTATATTAATTTCAATTTGAACTCTTTATATTGAAAATTGATAGAGTTACCATTATATTAAGAGAATATCGTCGACGTGCCGTGGAATCTTAGTAACGGTTATTTTATTAATTTTGCTATTATGTACAATTTTAAAATATAGTCTATTATGTCGTCTTAATAAAATTTGAGGTTATATTTGCAACTTTTATTTAAGACTTAGTAAATCATGAAAATACCATTTTGGGACAATTAATCATGTGTGTAATTAGTATGCAATCTGTCATCCATTAAAAAAAATAAAATACATATTTTACTGGTAAGGTATATTATTTGTACAAGGGTGTTGATTTAAATAATGTGCAATTAAAAATTATTATTTGTTTTTGTTCTCTGAAAAATTCATATTATTATATTCACATATCAACTTTTGCAAAATTGCCACGCTTGTGTGTTTTCCTCTTAAAAGGGCGTCTTAATAAAAACCATTCGCATTAATTGCTCCAGAGATCTCGTTGTGTTCTATATCGGCGGGAAGGTCACGTCATTAGTTCTATTGGCTCCGACAACCACTGCTGGTGAATCATTGTAAAACTATTCAGATTTGCTACGGCATTATAATGATGCGTAGTTTGTCGCATGATTACTCTTCTGTTGGTAACACCTCAATAAAGTGGAGTATTATATATTAAATTACTCATGTGTATGAACTTAAAATTACTACACTAGTTAAATAATTTGGTAAAAAGGTCCATAGAAGCAAAACAAACTTCATTTCATCCGTCTCTGTCAAGAGCTAATTCACAGAGATCGTTCATCCATTGTTGTTTAAGTTCCTTCTTACTTTTGTAGATTTATCACTGATTCGGTCTTCCAGTCGGTCTCCTACCCTGCGGAGTCCATTTTAGTCATTAGTTATTGATCTAGCTCTTAGTACATTACCAAACCAATCTAGTTTGTTGTGTCGTATTTCCGCTATTATACTTGGTTTACCGAATAGTTCTTATGTTTACCGGTTAGACCTAATTTCGTATGTTTTGTCTTCGTTTTTTATAGGTCCATAGATCATTCTATTGTTACTCTTATTATTGATATTAATTTTGATGGGATCTCAAACAATTTTAAATGTCTTCATATTTCTGCTCTCTTTGCTGAATCATATGATTGCTTGAAGTCAATGAATATTAAATGTAGTGGTTTATTAAATTCGTAGTACTTTTCTATAACTTATTTCAACGTAAATATATGATCTAATGTTGATCTACCTAATATAAAGCCACTCTGATATTCTTCAATGATGTCACCGGTGAAAGGTTTTAGACGGTTTAACAGGATATTTGATAGGATCGTATATGCAGTGTTGAGTAGAGATTCCCCTAATAGTTTTTGGTGTCTATGGGATCTCCTTTCTTATATATAGGACATATTATCGATGGTTTTAAATTACTAACAGATATAATTTATACTTTTCCCCATTGTATTAGTTTTTTTTTTGTGGCATTAGGAAAGTGGCGTCCCCATCGCCCAGTGCATCAATGATGCATTGCAATAGCCATTAATTCGACCAGAAAAGGTTGTTGTGATCTGATCTTACAGGTTGGGGGTTGAGCGCAGGGCTTACAACCTTGCCTTATACAAAAAAACACTTGTTATGAGACCATCACGGAATCAGTCTCGGACACAAATAAATGGAATCAAGACTGGACACGGAATTCGAAAAACTGGACTTCAGATAGTGAATTGGAACACACTAAGCCGTTATAAAACTGGAGCTTGTCAAAATCTTACTGATATCTTAGAATCGTATGGAATACAGATAATAGCGCTTCAAAAGATGAGATGGCTAGGAAAAAGTCAGTTAAAAGTAGGAAATTATATAGTGTATTATTCTGGCATAGATGAAGGACACTCTTTTGGTTGTGACTTTGCTGTGCATGAGACTATGGAACCACACGTAAAAGAATTTAACCCTATATTAGAAAGGATAACCTTACTATGAGTAGACACGAAATCATTGAATATAATATTAGTATGCGTACACGCACCAACGGAAACAGGGAAAGAGAACACAAACATAAGAACTTTTTGGAAAACCAAGTATAATAGCACAATACGTCACAAAAGTCTAGATTGGTTTGGTAATGTATTACGAGCTAGATCAATAACTAATGACTAAAATGGACTCCGCAGGGTAGGAGACCGACTGGAAGACCGAATCAGTGATAAAACGACAAAAGTAAGAAGGAACTTAAACAACAATGGATGAACGATCCTTGTAAATTAGCTCTTGACAGAGACGGATGAAAAGAAGTTTGTTTTGCTGCTATGGACCTTAATGGCCCCTAAAGCAGAAAGAAGAAAAAAAAAGAAATAATTTAAATCGTTACCATAAAAATGCTTCAGTCAGCATGGTTGGGTTAGCATTAAACTGGTTTTCATTTAATGATTCATATTAGACAATATAGTTCCAAAGAACGATTATTAATCAATGGTTTAACTGAATATTACTTGACTTCATTATATGGGGACTTTAGAACTGACATACTATTGCATCCCAATAGATAGTGTTAAATTTTTAAAAGAAATTGTTAAACTATTCCAAAAAACAATTACTATTTCTTGATATATATATCCTGCTAATTAGTTTTATTATTTATAAGTATAATACATAAAAATTAATTAATTTAGAAAATTTAATTTAGTATAAAATTGATACTTAATAATTTAGTAATGTAATTTTTACGGAGAAATCATAATAAAATGATTTAAGTAGTTATTTACTACTATATAAACTATGATTTTTTTCATAAAAATAATAATTTCGTTTAAATTTGCGGGACGTTTAACTATAGAAGCAAGACGTTAAGATAAAAATTTTTACTTTTTGTGTTACTATTTTAAATCCTCAATATCTAAGATATTTATTAATATACATATATTTTTTGAATCGTCCATTTTTAAAAAGTTATATTAGTTTAATTTAAAAACGTTTTAATAATTACGATTTTAAAAATTGTAATTTTTAGCTAAAAAGCGTCGAGCGCTCAATATACGAAAATAATGGCACAAAGCCCCCATGCTTTTATTCACAATAATACAAATTTTTTTTCGTTTTTTATTGTTTTAAGCTTATTTATAAAATTATTTTTAAATTTTTAGTTTATATGCTTCAAAAGCGTATTTTTCAGTTTTTAGCTTCGATGCGAAGCTGAGAAGATATTAATTTTACTTTAATGTGTCTTTTTATTATTATTATTTATTTTGTGTCTGTATACGCTCAATCTCAGCTCTCGCTGGACCGATTTTGATGAAATATATGTCAAAAGATCACAAATCGTAACTAATTAAAGACATTATCCTTAAAATTTGAAAAAAATTCCCTCGTTCCCCGTAAACGAGAGAAATCGTCCAAAAAATTACAAATTTAAAAATCGCTAATTTTCGAAATTTTTTCAATTTTTTTTACTTAAAATTGCCATAACTTTTTCAAAATTGACCGAATCAATATAATTTTTTTTTTATAGATACCTTAGGTATTCACCTATCAATTTATATATTTTTGTAGCCTACAGGAAGGGTTTCAAAATGGTAACATTTTTACAAAAAATTAACTTTTGAAAGTGTTCCGGAAAGACTGACACTTTTATATATACCTTAAATTAAAGATTATGTAATATACTTTATTTTGAAAAAAAAAAAAAATTGACCTCTGGATTTGTCTTCATGGTAAAAATGACTCCGTATTCAAAAATACGCTATTTTTTGTTAAAATTCTGGTTTTTATATTTTATTTTATTTTAAAATACCTGTCAAAGGGAGTACACAGATTTTCATAAATATTATACAAATAAAATTGATATAGCATAGATAGTTAAACTTAAATTTGTTTGCTTTTTTTAGTCGAGAAAAAAAACTTTAGCTTAAATAGCCATTTTTTTCACGAAATGTAGCGACCTACGGTTGTGTTTTATGCGCTTGGGGTACAAGGTTCCAACCCGAGTATATATCCGATAAATTTTTTGCATTTTTTCTTAATTCTTTTTAAGTTAAAAAGAATTTAAGAATTTTTTAAGAATAAATTTTCAACTGCTTTGATTTTTATCTCATTTAGATTCAATAACTTCAATAAAGATCAAGTATCCTATCACTATAGTCTCCCTTCGTGAGAAGAAATTTCTTATTCATGTTAATATTATTTTACTATATTTTAATTTTTAGCTTCGATTCAAAGCTGAGAAGGTATTTTTTTGTGACTATCATTTATTTTCTCTGCTCTAACTTGACCTACTTTTTCAACGATACGTCAAAAGGTCACAAATCGTATCTAGTTGAAGATATTACTCTCAAAAATTGAAAAATTTCCCTCGTTCCCCGTTTTTCGAATTCAAAAAAAAATTATGTGGGAAATATTATTTATTACAACAGTAAATTTACAGTATAACAAATAATAATTTAAACTGATTAACTATAAACAATGAACAACGAACAAAATGAACAATTTATGAAAATGATAACTGATGACTGATCACTGGACACTGTGGTTTGATGATTGATAACTAGGAGCAACGGTCCCACTTCTTATATAGGCGGTAGAATGTTCCAGAACAATCGACCGCCGAAGAATCTTCTAGAGGCGGCGGCGGTCGAACGTTCTAGAACATTCGGCCGCCACATCACCCCCCTTCCAGTAATGAAATTACGATTCAATGAGTAAACTGTTTCTATCCCGCTTGATAAAACTGTGTGAAGCGCACTCTTCTTCCTGAACGTGTTGTACGGTTGTTGTCGGAGTGACTGTCCTCTGGAAATGAGTCGTCGGCTGGTTGCTGGTTTTCTGGTTGCTGGTCTTGTGGTCGATCTT